GCTTTGAGTGTTTTTTCGATCATCTGAAATTTCCCCCTCAAAAAAACTTCAATGAGTTATGGTAGATGTCCCCAAGAAGGAAGTATTAAGAGCATTGAACAATGGGAATGGTGGATAGTTTACCATGTGGTCCAATCACATAAAATGTATTCTCGTAACTACAAGATATAAACCATTCAAGTCGAAGCTTGCCCGGTATGCAAAAATATCAATGATCGAGCTACTTGTAGTGAGGAAATAAATACTGCAGTGTTGAGGACGTTGAACACTAGCCAAGTACATTTTGGCATTACAGTTTTCCCAATTGCATTCAACTTCTTTGTGTTTGTGCTGCTGGATGCAGTGTATTTGGTGTTATCATTGTCACTTTGATTCTGGATTAGTAAAGAGGGATTACCTTGCCAAACACCTTCAGGGGACTAACAATGGCAAAAACCAATATTTAACCTTTTATTTAACCTTTTACCTTACAAAATTGGTAGGTTTTAACCCTTCACCTTATAATATGACACTTTTAACCTTTTACTTCACAAATTTGGTAGGTTTTAACCTCTCACCTTACAAAGTTGGTAGGTTTAAACTTCTCACCTTATATTATGATATTTTTAACCTCTCACCTATACGAATTGAAGAAAATAACTCTCACATAATATTAAGTTATAACATTTTATTGGTTCTGTTAATTGATTGTTAATATCCGTTGGCATTTCATTATAAAAAATATGAAATTTAAATTCACTTTTATTTGTTAGTTCCATTAACGGAATGCTAACGGATGCTAACAGTCAGTTAACAGAACTAATAATCAGCTAACATAACTGATAACCAGTTAACAGAACTAATAGCCAGCTAACAGAACTGATAATCAACTAACAAAATTGACAGAATATTATAACTTGATGTTAAATTAGAGCTATTTTCTTCAATTCATAAAGATAAGAGGCTAAAAGTGTTATAATACAAAGTGAGGGGCTAAAACTTATTAATTTTGTAAAGTGAGGGGTTAAACTTACCAATTTTATAAAGTAAAAGATTAAAAGTGTTATATTATAAAGTTAAGGACTAAAACCTATCAATTTTATAAGAAAAAGAGTTAAAAATTAATTTTAGCCGACTAACAACAACTTGATGTCTGACTATTACTATTAGTGAAATAGCCACAAGTGCCATAGTATAATCTTCATTTGTTAAAATTGCAACCTTGATACTTTTAAAAATTAAATTTCTTCTGATAAACCTTAACAAGGAGTGAAGGCGCCTCAGGGTATGTTGATGAATTCTATGGTACTTATTATATCGTAAAACTTAAAAAAATTAATATATTTTTTAATTTAATATATTTTTTAGTATTTATCTAGTTCAAACATTAAAATATAATATAAATATAATTTATTCAATCAACTTTTAAATGTTATATATATTATTGTATTTTTAAATTTATTTACATTTAATTTATACTATAAAATAATAATTATTAACTACTCAAGTTGAGCTTGAATTTCACTTGGTTACTCAGTACTCGATTAATAAACAAGTTTGAATTTGAGCTCAATTTTAAGCTTAAAAAATACAGTTGAGCTCGACTAAGAATAAACTCTTAAGCTACCCGAACTGGAGTTCGAATTTAATAAAAAAAAAAAACTGAAATATATAATTATTGGTAATTTTATTTATTTTTGAAAATTGAGCTCTCGAGCACAGTTCGATCTCAACACTTCTTCTAATCTTGTTTGAACCTCAAACTCAAGTACTTTAGTATGCGGCTCATTTTAAAAATTGATTTAACAAGTGTTATTATTCTTTCCATTTAAAATTATTAATTAGGAAAGGAAAATTTTGGGTATGGTGTGATGCACCATTTTTTTTATATAATATATATTGGGAGTACTCCGTGGAATGTATTGTAAGGGTTGACTAACTTGACATTAACTTTAAATTAAGGTTTTTAAAGATTTAAAATTAGATTTATTGATATATGAGTGTATTTTTATAATTTAAGTTAAAAATTCAAGTTTTGAGATCAACAAAAAATTAATTTTCTTAAGTACACTATGTATCAAATGTGAGAGGTGCACCCTTAATGGTTGTTTGGTTGTGGAGAAACTTTTTTTGTAAACATTTATAAACTTTTCTTATTACAAGATTATTTATATATTTTTACACGTTATTACTACAACAAAAAAAAGAATAAAAGTAGTATTTTTAATTTTTATTTGTTCTAAGATAATTTACAACTCATAAACTTTTTTCTTATACTTTTGGAGGGAAAAAAGTTTCCTACATCTTTCTTTATATAAGACCCACTTGATAACTTTCCCATCATACCAAATTTCTTACCAAATATAGAAAAATTAACAAATTCAACCAAATTTCAACAAAACATCACTGCAAAATTAACTTTTTATATTTATTAACTTTTCATACAATATAATCTTAACCACTTTTTTAATAATTTTTTTATAATAAAATTGGCCCTCTAACAAAATAACTTTTTAGGATCACCTAAAGAAGAACTAATCTCAAAAGTATGCAAGCTAATCTAGCAAAGACACCATTATTGTAAATATAAAAAAATAAAAAATAAAAAATTTAAATTAATAGATAATAACTTACTAAGTTGTTGTTGGTGGCATGATACACATTCGTCCCTTGTGAGAGGGGAAACTTTTATTTTAAATATTCCAGGTTAGATAACAAAAGAGGAATATTATTTCTATATGGTAAAGAACCAAGCTAAGAATAGAAAATAAACTGTAAAATGGAAATAAAGTATGAAGTATAGACTTTTACTTTTCCCTTGTATCAGGTAAAAAATTATTATTATTATTATTATTATTATTATTAGAAACTGTAAGTGTGTTTGTGAGCTCTTAAGATTCCATCGAGTTGATGCCTGGTCAGAACCGTCTCAGCATAGAATTACCACATGAGATGCCAATGTGGCTTATGGCTCCTACCCAAAATCATTATGGTCATTATTATGATTGTTATTATTATTAATAAGGAATTTTTTTCTTTCGGTAACAAAGGAAATTTTTACTGGGCACATATCAATGATATATTTGTTATATATATTAATTATTAATTTATATAAAAAATAAAAGTAGATTTAAGGTTAATAAAATAATTTTTTACCATGTACACTACAAGAATTTTGGGATTTACCTGCATTTTATTTCGGGCGTTTACCATATATGTTGAGAATTTTAATATGAGGTGGAGTGCTTTTTGGGTGCTTTTTTTTTGCATTTGCTTCCAAATCTTATCCATTTCCAATGCTTGAAAAGCGCCTGTTACTTGAAAAATAAAATGAAGGAGGACATCATGTCACGAGTCCTTGCGTTATTTTTCCAAAATCCCAGATTATTTTCCCAAAACAAAGTCTCTTTCATTACTACTATCTTCTTTTCATTTCCAAAATCTCTGTTTCATTTCCAGTGTCTCTCCCTTGGTAAGCAGAAACCCTAAACCGATTGTGGTGGGTAAGCTTCAAATCTCTCCATTAGGTGCCAGTGATTGTAGCTTCAATTCTGATTTTGATTTCTCTTCGAACTTGATATTCATTATGATTTGATTTCTCAGATTTTGATTTCGTGTTAGGATTTGTGTCTTCTTCGAATCTCATCAAGTACTCTAGGTTTGTGTCTTCTTCTTAGATTTTCAAAATCTCCTGTTTATGATTCTGAAATTTGATTCTGAAATTTGAGAATTGAACATTTGGGTGGTGGCGATAAGATGGTCAAGGTAACGAATCTCACCGTCTGAAGGTAATTATCTGCTGGCCACGGAGACTAACCTGAATAGGCGTCGTTCCTCCCAAACTTCCCGAAAAAGGTGCTTCCGGTCAATGCTGTGCAGTGCAAGACCATTGCAGGTAATTATTTGCTTAATTTCTTCGAATGTCTTGATTTTGGAGCTGCATTGCTTATACTGCTAAATTCAATAGTGCAAGAGTTGGAATAATTCGAGTGGTTGAAAATCTTTGAATGCTTGGTCTTAATATGTATTTGATATCTGTTAATTCCATCTATAATTGACACTATCAAGAATTGACAGTGCGATAGACATTTTTTTTTCCTTTCTTGATAGCTCACTTTATTGATGATTTCGATATTAGCTGAGCTGAGTTTTATAGCTTTGAATTTTCAATATTAGCTCACTTTCTCTCAATTTCCTTTGTGTTTCGAGAAATTTATAAAATTTTTCTTTTTTGTTGAGTGATAGGTGGAGGAGGAGGAGGACATGTTCTGGATACAGAGCTGTGGAAAGAAATAGTGGGGCCACTGGTTGAAGTTCTGCAAGCTAGAGAACTGAGTGTTGTATTTTCCACAAGGGCACATGGAACAAGTAAGTGGATTGTTTATCTTCCAATTCTGTTTTTAGATGGGTAATTAAATTATTCTATTTATGGAAAAATAATTGAGTGTTTTTTGGTGGGAATTGTAATTGGAGGCATCCACAAATCAGGAGCTGAATCAAAGAATTCTGCTGTTCAAACTTCAATCCAAGATTCTGTGCCGTGTTATTAACGTTCACTTGCTGGTATTTGTTTCTCTTTTGTAATTTTTATTTTTATTTATTGCATGTTATGTTACTTAGAAAGTTCCCTTTATTTTTATTTTTATTAGATTATATATATACATATATTTATGTTCATTTTGAAGAGAAATTCCATTTATCTTGTAGTTAATTAGGTTTTCTAGATGAATGAATTAGTGTTTGTCTTTATTTTCTAAGTGACTGAAGATATCTATTTTCTTGGTCTCCTGAATAAATTTAACCTTCAAGATCATTGATTTGGGGATAATTTATCTCTCTATTCATCATTCTCTCTATAGGCTGAACAAGAAACTGATGAGGTTTTTGCACAAATAGCTTTGCTTCTTGAAGCAGATGTAAGCTCCATCGTTTTCTTACTTCTTTGAGTTATTGGAATGGAAAATGTTGGATTTTACTTGCTTTAATATTAGTCAACTAAATTTTACTTAATGCTATCTGTAGCAAACTGAGTCAACAACAGCAGATTCGTGTCCTCGTCAGCATCCAAGACCTAAGCTACACTCATTTTCCAAGGTTTTAACTGCTTCTGATACAAGAACCCATGGAGGCTTTTCAGTTCTCCGAAAGCATGCCACCAAATGCCTTCCCTACTAGTACTGATTTTAAGGTTCTTTATCATTTGAGTCCTGCTTTCTGCATGCTGTTTGTTTGTTAGCTTATTGCCATGTAATGAATGAATATATTTGAATCTAGAATTAAATAGTTTAGAATACTTGAAAATAGAGTATACATGGCTAAAAAAAAGTGATTTTACGCGTTTGTTTGAGCACCTATATAGCTCAATTTCAGGCGCTTGAAAGTTAGGATTTTCCAACCCAAAAAATGTATATTTCGGACGCAAGCTGAGGGTTTGAAAATAACATAATTACATACACTTTAAAAAGTGCCTGCAAATTAAGTTATTATAGGCATTTTAAAAAGTGCATGCAAACGAGGTTATTATAGGCACTTTTTGGTTAATACAGGCACTTTATAAGCACTTGTAAATTGGGTTATTACAGGCACTTTAGAAAGCGCCTACAAATTAGGTTTGATTCAGGCACTCCAACTTTCGCTCACCGTTATCTTTCTCAACACGCGATTTGCAGGTCCATACAGGCCTTTCTTAAGCGCTGGCTATGTTTATGTAGGCGCTCAAAAGCATCTGCAATCAACTCCTTTAAGCACCAGCAAAAGAAATAACCTTTGTAGTGATGTGCCTTAAAGTCAGGGATTAAGGGTATATTTTTTGTACCTTTTTATTATTAATTTACACAAAATAAAAATTCACTTAAGTTTTATCAATTGTTTAATTAAACTAGGCATTACTATTAAAAATAAAGTTTATTTTTTTAATTTTTTATACAAATTAATAATAAAAAGTGTAATAAATACACCCTCAAAGCACATGTTAGAAAGATCTTAATAAAAATAGAGTTTTTTTAATGTGTACGGTAAAATATGTGCTTTTATGGTACAAGTTATAAAAGTGTAATTAATATACTTTTTAATAATTAATTTACGTTAAAAATGTAAAAGTTTATATTGATTTTTATACAAATACCACATTTATAATTTTAATTGGACAATTGATAAATTAAAAGTTATTTTTTATTTTTTAATATAAAATAATCGTTAAAAATTATATTAATTATACCTTTGATACATATTAGGAAAGCCCTAATAAATACGGAAGGGCAAAAACTGTTTTGCGGAAATTTCGCCCCCTTTGTATTAATTTCTGGTTTTGTCCCCTGGAGTCACTACTCACTACTGTTGGTATATGTTAATGACTTGAATCTCACTAGTAGAATCAATACCAATCACCCACAGTTGAATGTCTAGGTCCCTAGCAAGCTTTAGCGTGCGTTTGATATTGTTGTGAAGTATTATAGCATGGTTTTGTTGAATTGTATCATGCTATAATTGTGGTTGAAAGTTAGTTTGGTATTTTGTTATTTATTTCTTAAAAGTATTATATATGAAATATGTTAGATTTTATTAATTATTAATTAAAATTTAAAAAATATTGTAAAATATATAATTATTAAAATAGATAAGAATTTTTATTTTTTAATAATTTAAGTTTTTTAAATTTATTATTATTAAAATATTGTAAATTATGATGTAATTAAATTATATGAAGTTGAGTTTTAATGAGTAATTTGTAATTATATTAAATATTAGGTGTTTTTTGTAAAGTACAGTTAGAAAGTTTCAAAATCAAGCTTTTGACTTTATATTTAAAATTATTATAGATCTGTTGTGGTTTTTTTACAGTTTTTTTAAAAAATAATCTGAAAAAATATTACCAAATACATTGAGTAATTTGAAAAAATATCTAAAAGTGTTGAGCCGGCTAAACAAAAAAACTTCTAACCACAATTCCAAACTCACTCTTAGTCATTTATCAACAGCCACAATAAAATTTCTTTCTTTTCCAAGTCAGCAAAATCTTATTTATTTATTTATATTGAGTTGAACTATTGTAAATAAATGAAATTGTTCTGCAGTTTTGTTTGTGGAGAAGTCCTAGATGAAGTGAATTAATCTAAAAACCCAAGAATGGATCTTAGGCAGACATTACGATGCCTAAATTAGTAATATTTAGCTCGGGTGCCTAAAATGAAAGGAAAAAGAATAGGGTAATCAATGCATCTTGAGATCAATGCCAAGAGGTATTTTTAGGCCCAAAAATGTA